GGTTGTACGGCAGTGAAGCATCAGTGGCAACACTGATGTTGCTGTCCTTGATGATGATGGTGATGATTCCCTACTTCCTCGTAGCTTTTGAAAACGACCGCTGATTGAGGTCGTGTTGCTCTTTGGTATTGCCACCGATAGCCACAGTATCTGTAGGCATGCATGCTTTTCAGCTTTTAAGACTTAATGATATTGTTAATAGTTCGCTGAAAACACGCTACGCCGTTTGTGACAACGAAGGGTACGTGACGAAAGTGAAACAGGCTACCTTAAACTTCGAATGCTGCAAAAGGTTTGTCGGCTTGGTGAAGGACATAGGTGAACAAACAACTGTTGTCTGTCCTTGGAGGGAAAGTTTGGAAGAGCTCCTCACAATCTGACGCGCCCATAAATATGTGGATACAAGACCCGTCACGAAGAGATGAGACATCATAATGTGACGGTTTTCGCACCTCAGAAGCCTACTGAGCTTTCCTGGAGGGCATCCCCGCGGCACTCTGAGTCCCTCACAGCAGTGTTGGTCAATGGTTGCAGGTCTAATGATGAACAAAGTACCCTGGTTCTTCATACTGGGGATTGGAACATGTGTGGTGAAGTGTTCCGTAGAGTCGGTGTGCATGCTTAGCATATCTGAGACTCAATTAGTGGGTCGACATAGATTGGACTCGGTATGTATGGACAATGGTGAACTATTTCTTCCGCTGTGTGCTTATTGCAGGTTCTTTGTATGCAGTACTAACTTCCGAAATAGGCGAAGTCGCTGGCCATATGGTGACCACCACCAACAGGCCGGCCACAAACTTAAACCGACCACATTGCCATCACTTACCGATGGCGTGAATCAATAACTGACTGCCGGTCGATTTAGAACACATTTGTGGATTCCGACCATGCTCCCGTCCGGAGTCGCTTCTCCCTACATTTCCCCAGGGTCGCGTAAGGTGCGAACAAATCGCTGGGCAACTGATAGACCTGAGATCAACGTAATATTTGGAGCTGTGTCTAGCTGCAGACGGATTGGAAATTTGTTGATGGAAACTGTAAAGTATTTCCTTCCGGACTCAAATTCAACTTGGAACGTTGCACAGATCGGGACTGCGGACGTTTGTACGGCTGATTTTGTTGCTAATTAGACTGTCGAAGCTGTTTTGGTTTTCGGATGCGGTGGGTTTTTTGGTACGATAGCAACCTCCTTTGTGGACCCACCGATGACATGTCTGGCACTGGTGC